TAAAAACCAAAAAGTACAATTCAATCAATTAAAAAAACTGTGTAAAAAGAAAGGTTTTAAGACCTTTTTTTAAAACATGTCACGGTCTGTGGGGCCCTCACATATGAAGGCAGGGCGTTCCACAGCCGAGGGGCAGTGCAGGAGAAAGCCCGGTCTCCTGTTGTGCGGGACCGAGACCTGGGAGTGAGAAGAAGATGGGTGTTGGAAGAGCGAAGAGTGCGTGAAGGACAATGAGGGGTAAGTTATTTTAAATAAGATGGCACATTACCGTACAAGCATTGTAAGGTGAGCAGATAAATTTTGTAAGTGATCGGGGCAGAAACAGGAAGCCAGTGAAGTGAACGGAGTACAGGGGTGATGTGCTCATGCTTACACACTCTCATCAGGACCCTGGCAGCGCTGTTCTGGACATACTGTAGTTTTTGTATGTTCTTGCCAGGAATCCCAATGAGGAGTGCATTGCAGTAGTCCAGTCTGGAGGAGACAAAGGCATGGACGAGCCTTTCTGCATCGGTGAAGGAAAGTGTAGACCGAAGCTTTGCAATATTTCGAAGATGAAAAACAGAAGTTTTACAGATATGCTATATATGGCTTTCAAAGGTGAAACATGAAGGTGAAAAGGGTCTTGCACTTCTGTCAACTTTAAAGAGACTTGAACTGCAACGTGTACCCCCACAGATGTTGAATCAAAATGACCGCTTTGGCACCGTGATGTGTGCTATTACTTTTATTGGCATTTAGAGTTACCATGGGGACGTTTGTAAACAAAGATGCCATTTTAAACACAGACAGAACTCTTCACAGCCTGTAACTGCCACAGCGAGGTCACATGACCTAGCGGGGAGCGGTCTCTGAACAAAGCATTGATTAACTTTTGGAGCTACTTTGGTTCAAGATGGCTGCCACAGCTATATCAGAAAACACAAAATTGACTATAACTCAGTCATTATTTGAGATATTGAGTTGAAGATTGGTATAGTGCTAGCTGAGAGCAAACCCCATCACATAGTAACTTAGTGTCAAATCAAAATTTTAAACTGCCCACAACATCAAAGTTTCTCCAGGAACTTTCTAGTATTATATTTCTTCTCCTCCATGAATTGCTACCCCATTGTGGTGATGTAGTTTGTGTTCTTGGGGATTTGCTGATGGAGGTAGGGTCTGCCAAGACAGACTGGTCCTAGATGACAGGATAAGGAGCAATTCACAACACATGTATGGACAGAAGACAACATGGAGCTCAGTGTCCCTCACCTGACCGTGGGTTACTAGGACCCCACCCAGGCCTGGGTGAAGGGTTCATAAATGAACATCTGGTGATCGGGCCTCTATACTACAGGGCTTGTTGGGTTTATCCCAAATGAGTAAAGTGGGTTTGCCTTGCTGTGGGCCACCACCATACAGGAAGAAGAAGGAGCCATACAGGTCGGGTGCAGTGTCCTACGGGCAGCAGGTGAAAGTGGTGGCCTTGATGCTCTACCGAAACTAGCTCCTGGGACATGGAACATGTCCGAGCATAAGCCAATAATGATGCTTTAATACAAACATTGACTTTAACAGTTATTTACTAACTTTTCCCCAACAAATAATAAAAAAACAACAAAATGCTTATTTGAAAAGTATCATAATAATACTCTATTAAATAAAATGCATGATTTTGTCCATGCATTCTCGAATCTAAGAATATGAGACCAAATTAAATAGAGACCGCTTTGATATCTACATTTCATCACATTTTAATCTGTGAAATAAATTATTCTTCTAGTGTGCTGTTGTTTATCTAAAAGGCAAATATTCTAGTTTGCTCACATAAAAGCTGTTTGTCCAAATTTGCAGCATCTAAATAAAACAGTGGAGTCTTTCTGCCAACAGCCCTTCTCATTCTGAATAAATTATTTCTCTAAATGATACAGTAGCAGAGATAATGGGTGAGTTTGTTAAAGAGCATTTTATATTTTGTTAATAAACTGGCTTTTAACTCTAGCCATTTTTGTAATTGAGATTTAAAAGACCAATTTAAAGACCAGACAGATTAAAACAGCTTTGGTCAGTTTAGTTACACTCTAATGTTTAGAGACATAAACATTTTTGTTTTCCAGCTGTATTAAAGGTACTGAACAGCACAATGCTTTTAAGTTCTTACAGTGAAGGTGGATTTATGGGACCTGGGAGGATCACAGCACTTGTACTTCCGATGAGCAAATCTGACAAATCAAATGATCTTTATTACTGTAGTCAAAGGGTCAGCTAAGCATGGAGGAAAATAAAGAAAATGCACCTGCATTGAACATTTGCTACCCATGTCAACTTCTGCATAGTTTGTTGATTGTCTTTAAATTCTTATTATCCACTTCCCTCAAGAAAATTTCATTATAAACTAAAATAATTTTCTAGCTGATACTTTTAATATCAGTCCATTCATTCCATGTTTGACTTCAATTTGTTTTCTCTCCCCCACTTTTTAAAATAATGTACACAAGACAAGTCTCTTTGTGCAACGTATCATAGACAGCAATAGGTCTGGGTGATATATCGATATTTTCAAAATATCTAGATATATATATCGTATATTGCAATTTTTCTTAAAAAATATTGAGATATTAACTTTGATCCATATCGCCCAGCCCTAGACAGCATGTGAAGCAAACGAATCTAACTAAAATAATCTGAAATTTGTTGTATAAAATCAAAACAATTAAATTTTTCTGATTCCACAGAGCAGCTTGGTGTGTGTCCTTAGAGGTTGGCGCTGAGGGTTGAGGAGGACAGCATCTTCTTTTCATGCATGTGTATGTGAGTACATGCACCCGTGCATGTGTGAGATGAGAAACAGGCTGACCAAAAGAAAGACATGCCGACCTGCTCTCCGTTAGATTAATGTCCTTAACATCTTGAGCACCACCTCCCTCCATCCTGTATGACCTTCCCTCTTTCAGTGTAGAGGCCATTCATTCATTTGCTCACCAATACATCCATCTACACCCCCCCCCCCCCCCCATCTGACTGACTGATGCTCAGGAGGGGAATGAGACTGTCAAGATCCCTGAACCTAAGCAGAGTCATTCTCTCTTCCTCCCTCTCTTTCCTCTGCTTTTAGGAAGGATTGAAGGACTGATAGTGAGGACAGCGTATCTTTATGGTTAATATTAATGTGTGGAGACAGAGGACAAGGTCTCCCTAAGGAGAGCTTTACTTTGACATATGCTTACTGATTCTCTCCCTATCTTTCTAACTCTGTTTCAGTCTGTCCCCGTCCCTTCATCACATCCCTAGCCTATCAATCTTTTTCACAACCTTGTTTCCTCTCACCTTCTCTCTCTTGCCCTTTTCTCATTTGTTTTATTCCCAACTTCCCTCCTTTGGTTCCCTACCTATCTCTTGTTTTCGCTCTCTTTATCACTCTCCGTCATTCTTGTTAGAAAAGCTGAAGTATCAAAGAAGTTGCATAAGACTCAGGTTTATGACGGTTATAAAAAGCGGGGAAAGATGAATGTGACAGGGTTCAACATGGACGCCATGTGAGCAAAGGTCTGTCTGATACAGGACACCTTTCAGTTACTGCACACACACATACACACCATGAGTTGTTCAGGTGTAAATCTTGTTCTTTAGCATCCGGTGTTGAGCAGCAAGCTGTGTACTGTGTCTAATACAAAAAACAAACAAACAACAACATAAAATATACAACACCTGATGTTGTTTGTTGTAAAATAAGGCTGTTTGTTCCCTCAGCTAAAACCTTAAAGTCAAACTGTGCTAAATTTTTCTTTAAGAATAACTTTTTCACGTTACTGACATTTAACGTGACACCAACTTTCAATAACTGACACAAAAAGAAAGTAACCCGTTTAGTGACAGGAAAGCCCACAGAGTTGGAAATTGTAGGTTTTATATTTCTTTTCCAAGGATACATTAACAAGTATGGCCAGTCGGGGGATTGGAGTGCAATAAAAGCTGTCAGCGGATCCTTGGGTGAGGAAATTTAAAAAGAAATCACCCAGCACTTTTGGCCACTTTTCCTTTGAGTTACGAGCACACTCGATCTGCAACAGCATTTAAAAATGGCTTTCTGAGTTGCTCTCTCCACAGAGTGCCCTCTTTATGACAGCTGTTATAGTGGTAAATCTCTGAGATGACAAAATGTCTCAGTGAAGAAAAAAACCTGTTTATTATGTTTTTGGAAGTATACGTGTCTCTTCAAGGTTCCACCAAAAAGTGGTAAAAATACTGACTGATCTATAAAAATAGACTGGGGAGGAGGAAGAGAAAGAGAGGGGACTGACAGTATTCATACAAGGAAGTCAACACAGATCCCATCAGTCAGCCAGGAAATCATCTATGTAAGACTGGAAAATGCATAATCCTGTAGCACAATATAAAACCAGTGTTGTCGCTGTTTGCAAAGAGGCAGACAATGGAATAGCCATGTTCTCTCATCTACTAAGGCCTTGTTCTCAGGGTTTCAATTAGGGCCTCCTGATTTCCACTGGGGCCCATCCCTTTCATGGAGAGGCCTCATTAATAGAGGAAACACAAATGCAGCCATGCACACACACACACACACACACACACACACACACACACACACACACCCAGGTTTGTTTTGCTATCTTTGTGGGGCCTTTGCATTGACTTCCATTCATTTTTCATTCATTTCTATAGCCTAACCATGACCTTTATCCATAACCTAACCATTACCAGTACATACCTAACCCTAAACCTAACACATCCTCAATTCACACCTTAGTCCTAAACCTAGCCCCTAACCCACCAACGGGACTTCTTCTTATGGGGCCCGGGCTTTGGGCCCCATAAGGAGCAGTTGGTCCTCACAATGTAGTATAAGTTGGAAAAATGGGCCTCACAAAGTAGCATAAACAAGGACACACACACACACACACACACACACACACACACACACACACACACACACACACACACACACGTCCTACATTCAGAAGTGCAGAAACACACAGAGCCACATTTGCTGCAGAGCTTACCCCTGTCTTCTCATCAAAGATCTTGATCCCTCCAAAGGAAACAGTGAGAAACACCTTCTGCTTGTGTTCTCCTTTAGACCGTGCTGCTGCAGCTATACCCTGCAGATGGAAAACACACACAATGCAAACAGGCATGTTAGAAACAGAACTGAATGAGTATAAATGGAAAGCCCAGGAGTCCGTGTCTCTTTCTTGGGGAGATTATCTAATCAGTAATATTTGCAATGAGCCACAAACACTTGGATCACTTTATAGAGAAACCATTTACAAGCACAGAGAGACTTTTACTCATTTCTTTACACATTTTTGCATGGTGGCTCAGTTGGTAGAGCTGTTGCCTCTCAGCGAGAAGGTTGCCGGATCAAATCCTGGCCTGGGTGGAGTTTGCATGTCCTCTCTGTGCATGTGTGGGTTTTGTCAAGGTACTCCAGTTTCCTCCCACAGACCAAAAACATGTATGTTAGACTGATTGGTAACTCTAAATTGTCCCTAGGTGAGAGTGTGAAGGGTTGTTCATCCATCCATCCATTATCTTTATCCGCTTCTTCCATTTTGGGTCACGGGGATCGCTGGTGCCCATGTCCAGCGATCACTGTACGAGGGGCGGGGGACACCCTGGACAGGTTGCAAGTCCATCACAGGGACACAGAGAGACAAACAACCATTCACTCTCTCACTCACACAGACAGATAGAGACAATTTAGAGTTACCAATCAGCCTAACATGCATGTTTTTGGTCTGTGGGGGGAAACTGGAGTACATGGAGAAAACCCATGCAAACACAAGAAAAACATTCAAACTCCACACAGAAAGACCCCAGGTCTAACTGGGGATTGAACCCAGGACCTTCTTGCTGTGAGGCAACAATGCTAACCACTGAACCACCATGCTGCCTTTGTCTCTATGTGTCCTTGTAATTGACTGGAGACCTGTCCAGGGTGTCCCCTGCTTCACAGTGATGCCTGGATATTGGCACCAGTGACCCCCCGTGACCCGAAAAGGAAGAAGTGAGTAAAGATAAAAAATGGATGGATACTGGTAATTTTTTGGGATATTTATGGAAAATAAATAGTTCATCTATACATGCTACCTCAATCACCATATATGTAATGGCATGTATGGTATGTATGACATGTATGTGTAAACTGTATATGTACATTTACATGTACATATGCATTATGCATATACATGCATATACATGTATATGTATGTATACATGTGATGTTACTCATGAATGTTGTACTCCCTACCACCTTGTGCATGCACATATTGCCTTTCCTCTCCCCCAAAATTTGTGTATTCTGCTTATTATTTTGATTATGTCATATGTGGATTTTTTTGTTCTATATAATTAGAACATGCTACTGGATGCCTCAAATTTTCCCCTGGGATTAATAAAGTATCTGTCTGTCTGTCTGTCTGTCTGTCTGTCTGTCTAACAAAATGTAATAAAATCTCAGAGCAAACAATTGTTGATCAAGAAAATTTACGTTTCAACAAAACAAACAGAAACAAACAAAACAACAAAAAAAAGGGTGTCCAGACTTCAACAGTTCAATTAGATTTTTGTGTTAAGTTCAATTTTATATCAAACTTTATTTCATTAAAAAAGAGTAAGAGTACAGTCTTAAGAAATGCACAACATTTCTGGTTCTCTTTGGCCAAAAGGCATCACATTGTGTCTTTACTATGACTTGGCAACTATCTTGATTGCACAAACATTTTAAACAGAAATCATATTTTTGCAAACTCCACACAGAAAGGCCGGTGTCATGATCCATATCGCATTATCTCCAGACAGATGTCGATATAAAAGCAGCATAAAGAGATTTACAAAATCTTCTAATTTTTATGAACTTGTGGCAATCTTGTACCCCTAAATGGCATGATACTGCTCAAAGTATTTTACCCAGTCCTGTCTGATTTGTACTCAGAAAGAAATACAACACATTTTAACACTTAAAGACTTTAGCTTTGGTTCTCATCTCCACAGCTGAATGCTATCTGACTGAGCTAGCAGCTAGCAGCTAGCAGCTAGCAGCGTGCTGGCAAATCTGAACTGAACCAACTCAAAGGTGGACACGGTTGTGCAGAATTTGGTAATGTTGACTGTTGTGCAACAATGCTTTTGTTCATGTATTTGTAAGTTTTTGTTGGCTGCGATTGTATCTCATTAAACACTGAACAGATTATGAAACTTTCAGGCAGTAATCATTAAAAGGACATTCATAATGAAATAACCTTTGGAGTTAATATAGTTCAAAATGGCCACCAAAGCAAAAGCGTTTTAGCAAGCAACAAAATGGCTGTAACAGTCAGTCGTATTATGCTTGCTCAAACTTGGTGTGGTAACAGCAGAGACTAATCACTAAATGATCGCACACCCTCTCTCAATAAAAAACAACAGTGGGACAGTTGCTTCACTTGCTCCATTGATCAGGTGTTTATGACTATGATGTGCTGTATATTGTTCATCACAAGCCCTTAAAAATGTTGAGAAATGAGTTTTGGGTTTTATCACCCAGCACTTGTCAAGACCCACTGATAGCATGAAGCAAAATGTTGTTTTTAATAAAAAATAATGCAAAAAAAATCCCTTTTATGTAACAATTTTCAAATCATATTATTAAGAAGGAACGTAGGCAACACAATATTTTTAAGCCTATATGATGAAAAATGACATCTTAGTCTTTGTCTGTAAAACTGAAATGTGGAAAATATTCTTCCACTACAACAAAATCTCCTCAACAGGTTGCACGTTTCAAAACCCACTAATGATGATTTGAACCAAGAGGTGTTGGGCATTGATGAGCATGTGCTACTTACAAAGAGCAGAAGAAAATAAAGGAGTGGGAACACAGAAGTGACAGAGTTAAGCATGGAAAGGGAGGAGCGGCGTGAAAGAAGTGGAGAGATGAGAGAAAAAGAGTTGATGGATTTCCTGTCCAAATAAATGAGAAGGAGGAATGCTGTTTGATCAATGAGATGTCTGGCCTCCTCTCACCGTTATACACGTCTCTGCTGGGTGGAGTTTTCTCTACACGTAAACAAAACGTAAATGCAATTTTCTTCATTTAATTTTCCCTGGCAGTATGAGTTAAGAATAATTAATAATGAATGAGGGGCTCTTTTATGTTTTAGAACACTGCAAGAATAAAATTAACGTTTTACTTAGAGACGTGACTGTTATTGAACATGTAAGTCTTCTGCATGCATGACAAGTCATTCAATTATTTATTGAAGCAATGTTGTTAATTTGTCCCTTTTTTTTATAAATTAATTTAAAATTGACAATTTCTCTTTGTCTTCATCCTCTCTCACCTATTGCAAAAATTATTCCTCTCTTATATGATTTCAATTTTATGCTAAATGCCCTATCTGCCCCCCCCCCCCCCAATTGTTCTGCCAAATGAGATATTTACCCCAATCCCCTTCTTATCCATATGGCTAACCTCCTCCTTTCTTCCTCTTGCACTCCTCATCATAATCCCTGTAAATTATAGTATGCTCATTTTTTTAATCTTTGTACTTGAACTTTTCTCCCCTGGAAATTTGAATTCAGAAAAAAAAAACCTCCCAACAAACTCTATATGCTGTGATGTATTAAAAATGCGTATTTAAATGTTGAGCATTAGAATATGCATGATGTTGAACTCTCTATGGACCCAAAACTTGGGATTCCTATTTATGTTGGTTAGTTTTGTGAATACTGGAATATTATAAAGCCACAGGCAATCATGTTACATTACTTATGAGAGCTTATATTTTCTGCCATGACTGCATGCAAAGATCAAGGGAGCTTTATGTATGTGTAGTTTAAAATGCTTCAACAGAGAATGGGAGATTTTTTTTTATTACCTTCAGCTTCATCATCGAGTCCTGGCAGAGTTTGTCTCCGCGGGCGGCAGTGACCTCATCCAGGCCGATGAGTTTGGCCTTGTAGCGGACACCATCGCCCTTAAAGCGCCTGATGAGAGCTGCCTCACTGCGATCCTGCCCTGCAGACACAGACCCACACACACGCTGCAGTCAGCTGTACAGCTTCCAGTCAAGGACCTCAGTCTACCTCAGAGCAGTGCTGTTACAGTACCTGAGGAACATCAATCAAGGAGACAACAAAAGAATTCAAACTGTAATTCTCAAAAAGGTTAAAAAAAACATATGTAGTTTTGTTTGAGGATGTTAAATGAACTCATGCAAACTATGAAAAACGTTATCCTGAACTTTATTAAATGGTGCAGTTTGAAATTCTTCACACCAGTAGCTTTCCACATATAGTGATATGCAATTTTGAAATTGGGGTACTCGAGAAAAATATTGTGTGGTTTAGGTTTAAAACTTTTTTTGGTTATTTTATTTTATTATGTCCAGTCTTCTTGACTATGCAAGAAGTCTCCATGTAGCTTTATCAGCGTGTTTAACTCAGAACAGGTTAACAGTCTGAAAGCTTTAAAATTGTGATGGTTGGGAGGAATCAGTGAAACTCTGAAGGTTCTACAAAATGCTGTTGTGACATTTTGCTCTTATCTTGCACGTCTCCTGCAGTCCGCTCTCTCTGCTCTTCTCCAGATTGTCGATACAGTGAGAATGCATTAGTGCGTGTCAACTGTGGTGTGCCTGTGTTGACCTTGGTCTTGTCCAGAAAGTCTCTGTGTTATCTCCCATGTTCCTTTTGGCTCACACACAATCTGTAACATTAATAGAAGAGCTCCTCATAGGAATAAATTCTCTTTCTGTGTTTCATGGTTATGTTTTTCTGCCTCTGAGTTGCTGTGTGCAAACGTTTCATCAGCATACTCCACATTCTGTGTGTATGTGTGAGTAAGAGACTGTGAGACTGATGGTGAGAGGCATAATGATAATGCACCATATTCAGATAATATACTGAGGCATTAGTTCTATACTCTATAGCAGCATGACTCTTGGAAGGTCATAGTCAGAGTGATAGAGGGGTCCCACTCCTCCTTTTTCCATTCTTTCCCACTCCATCTGTTCACACAAACTCCTCACATCAGTGCTGTGTAAAAAAATACGATAAAACAGACACAAAATAATGTGAGGCAGTGTCTGACTCGTCATTGGCCAACAATAATTTGCGACCTGCTGAACGTACTGTACTTACATTTTAACATATCCTTGACTACCATTTGAATTAAATCATATTTTCTGAAAATTTAGCAGAGTGAACTGTACGTTTTAGGATTTGCTTTCACAGCAAATTCCGTGCACTGGGTTAACTATTCAAGTCTATTAAAAGACCTGAGCTATGCAACTCTGCTTGAAATACCACTGCAAGAATAACTTAGTTTGAAAATCTTTATTCCAAGTCAAGTCAAATTAAGCAAAAATCTCCTCTAAAGGGTAAGGAAAGTAAATGTCTCTTGCAGTAATAAAATAAGGCACAATATTTCACAGCACTGCTAAGTATCCGTACACAGAGACCAATAGGCTAATATACACCACAGCCACAGTGATCCTTGACTTGTTTGGCTATAAGATCAAGCCAATCCATAAGGAGCACTGCCCACCATGGAAGCAGAGGCTGGAAGCTCAAGTTCAAATCAATTTAATTGTTGTTCTCATCACATGTGGTACATGAGGTGGAACGAAATTATGTACACTGGGTCCCAGTTACACCCAAAAATAGCAAAAATATAAAGTATAAATAGAAACAGTATATAAGGATCTAAGATATACGGCAAACAAACAGCAAACGGCACCAAAAGATTTAAGATACGCTAAACACTAATAATGCAAAACAATACAGCATAACAACAGCAGCCCGAACGTGAGCAGATGGGTACAAAAATGAATACGATTGAATACAGCAGCATGAAATAATCAGCAGCATGAGATCAGCAGCATGGATAATCAGCAGCACAGATGTCACCTATCACCAATTTAAGTGGCATTACAGTTATTATATTTTATTTTTAGAGTGATTATCCTGGTTAGAGATTCATGAGTCTAACAGCTTGAGGGTAGAAGCTGTTCCTCAGTCTAGTGGTTCTACACTTAATGCTCCGTAACCTCCTGCCTGAGGGGAATGGGGCAAAAAGCGTGTTCAAAAAGCTAAGTTTAAAGCAACATGGAGAGAAGTCAGCCAGTTGTCAGAACAACAGAAATGTTGCCCTTGGATCAAAATAACCCACGAAGCCTCAGTTTTAACTGAGGCATATATGATCTACAAGGTTCAACAATGAAGCTACAAGTACAAAGAAACAAAATGCTCCAGTAAGTAATATTTGTATCCGTTTGTTCAAGGGTTGAATAATGGTTAGATAAAATACTTTCTTATTCTGCAGTAAGAACAATTAAACACATTTAAATGTGAAACACTTGCAAGGTTTTAATCATTTAATTTGATTTTGTGAAAGGCACATTTTGAAAACCTGCACTGATTTATGTTATATATCTGTGAGAGTGTTAAATAGCGATAAATGTATCCAGCCACTTTCCTGTGCACGTTTATTTCTATGGAACAGCAATTTTTGTTTGAGTTTGACATTTAAGGACTGTTTTGTTTCCTCCATTTGCATCTATCACCATTAGTGCTGCTATACTTAGTACACAGAGGGGGAGATTAAAAAAAAGAAATGGAGAAGTTGAAAAAAGGCCAAGAGGGAAGCAAAAGGGAGAGAGGTTCTGGGGTTATTTCTCCTGGTGAGTGCTTTATAATATTACCTTTTGGAAGAATGTTCAGTGAAAGACCTCCCCGTGTAAGTGTGCGTGAGTGTTAGCAGGGGAAAGCATTCGGTCTGCTGTAATTAAATGTCTGTTATTGCTGTGACCCTGCTGAGCTTCAAACACATCTAATGAAAGAATCTTTCGTTTCATCTGTCATTGCTGTTCTCGCTCTCTCTCTCTCTCTCACACACACACGCACCCACACACGCACACACACACACACACGCACACACACACGCACACGCAGAACAACAACCTTTTACTATCACACTCAGACACAAACCAATCCGTGTTATGGTCACACACATTTCAAGCAGCACACAGAAACGATGGAAGAATTTTGTGTAACATCAGCCTTCGTTCTTCAAGTCAACAAAAACACAAAACCTAACAAATAAAATCACCACTAACAGCAGATATATTGAGAGATGGGGTTTAATTTATTTATTTTATGCAGAAAGGATTCCTCAGTGAAGTGTGTGTGTGTGTGTGTGTGTTTCTATGTGTGATGGGATTTTATATGCAGAACTGGTCCACAACTGTTTGTCTGTTGCAACAAGCAGAGAGGGAGGGAAGGACATAAAGCCTAGTGCGAGGATGGAAAGTAGGGATAGAACGTGATGGATGAATGAATGAGTAAAGCCCCCATTGGATAAATGTCACTCAGGATTAAAGCGTTATGACAGGCACAAGCCAACTGGCTCACTTAAACACACATACACACTTCCACAGGTGATAGATGGCAGGTGACTGCTGCCACCATGACACTTAGCCCTTAAGGAAATGCCCCCCAGTATCGCCTCTGGCTATTGTACCATTCTGCCTCTTGTGTGCTCCTATCACTCTTACCCCAACGAGTTCATCTTTCCACCAAAGACAGGCAGTGATTCAATCACACGCTCAATATTAAAATCAGATTTTCTTATAATCCTGTCTGCTGCCTTTTCCCCTTTTTTAACTGTTACAATTATAATGGATCCACAATGTTTTTTACAGCTTCAAGCACATTTTAAGATACATTTTACACATCAAAATTGTTTATTATTTATTTATTTAAACCTTTGTTTTACCAGGAAATAAATCCACTGAGATCATTCATCTCTTTTGCAAGGATGTCCTGGGAAAGATGCACGTGTTTATGTCTCTGTTTACGAGATGCAGGAACAAGATAAGATGTCTTAAATGAACTTGGAAAGGTGTAAATGAAAACAATAATTTAAAATGGCAATTAAAACAGTCTTTTACTTTGTGATATAGAAAATAAAGATTTAGTTAGTGACATTATTATTTTTAAAAGTAACTTTTGTTGTAAACATAGTTGAATTGATGTGTTGGGTCATGAGGAGACAAACTTTAATTCACTAGTGTTGGACCAATTCTTTCTCACCAGTCAATATAAGTTCATCTAAGTTCATCTGTTCTTCGTGTGTCTAGCTTCATGTAAGATTGATCACACTCCTTTTTTTGCTTTTGCCACCTCCCTTTTTGCCCTGCATTGCATCTCCTTATATTCATGTCTATTCTCTTCAGTCCTCTCACTGCCCCATTTCTTCTTGGCTGACTTCTTCCTCTGGGTAACTTCCTTCACTTCACTATTCCACCACCAGGTTTCTAATCTATTCTTTATTCAGATGACACATCAAGTACCTTCCTACCTGTCTCTCTAATTATTGTTGCTGTAGTAGCCCAGTCACCTGGAAGCTCTTTGTTACCACACAGAGCCTTTAACAGCTCTTCTCTGAACTCATAACATTTTTCCATCCTTGATGTCCACCATTTGCTCTTCTTCTCTAACTTTACTCTTTTCCTCTTCTTCACCATACCAGTCATCCTACACACCACACACACCTACATCTTACACACATGTCCATCATGTTGCCTCTTCTACACAGAATGTAGTTTACCTGTGTAACCCCGCCTCCACTCTTATTGGTCACTCTATGTTCCTCCATCTTTTGGAAATAATTGTTGACTACAGACATTTCCATTCTTTTGGCAAAATCCACCACCATCTGTCCTTCCTGGTTTCTTTCCTTGATGCCAAACCTACCTATCACTTCCTCATCTCCTCTGTTTCCATCACCAACATGTCCATTCAGGTCTGCTCTGATCACCACTCTCTCCTCCCAAATATTCTCTATCACTTTGACTACATCCTTCCAGAATTTATTTCTCCTCCACCTCAAATCCAACCTGTGCAGCATAACCAGTGACAACAATCAACACCAAACGTTCTACTTCTACCTTCAGACATCACTATATCTGTCACTCTTTTCTAGGGATGGGATCGGGCTCCGATACCAGCGTAATT